CAGGGCTTTCTGAATGGGACTCTGATAGAACAGAAGAGTCTAGGAGAACTGACAAGGTTGGTATGAATTAGAAGTCTTCTGAGAAGCAAATGAAACAACAGACTTGCTCTTTTTTTTTCTGAGCTGAGGACCGAACCCAGGGCCTTGCACTTGCTAGGCAAGCACTCTACCACTGAGCTAAATCCCCAGCCCCCAGAATTGCTCTTACATGAAATCTATGTTTTTTTGTTTGTTAAAGAAGACATAAAAATAGCAGAGGAATTCTTTGGAGAGAGGAAAGAGATCACTGTTTTTTGGTGGTGGCTGGGAGAAGACAGGTTAATGGGGCAGTGAGAGCAATCCAAGTCCACGAAATACAGGTATGAAAATGTTATAGCATAACCCCATTATTTTGTAAAATGAACATATACTAAAAATGTAGACAACACTCGGAAGGCAGAGGCAGGCGGATCTTCCTGAGTTTTGAGGCCAGCTTGCTTTATACAGAGAGTTGCAGGCCTACCAGATCTACATGGTGAAACCCTGTCTCAAAAACAAAACAAAAATGTAGAAAATAAATAAATAAAACCTTGCAGGTTGTGGGCACAGCTGAGCAGCAGAGTGCTTACCTTGCGTGTGTGCGGGCTGCATTTTCCGGTACTGACAAATAAATAAACAAAACCCTCCACGCTTGCAACATTCTATCTAGAAATTGCCACAGCCAGATCCACAAGCTCATTAGGTACTGTTTCTCTTTCCTGTGACTGCGAGCTAATTTAACTAATTGTTTTTCTAGTGTCTGAGTTGGACGCAGCCTGCAGACTGATATTCTGCCCTTGAATAGTGATTTTTGCTAACGGACTCCTTAGGATGGAAACTTCTTCCTGTTTCCACCCCTCATACCATCCCAAAGCCTTAAATTACCCTGGTTTTGTTTTACAGCAGGACCCCCATTTGTGGCTACACAATTATATTCCTTTGTTTAGTGCAGTTTAAAAGCCACCTAAATCCTAGTGGTATAAAACAACAGAATTCACTTAGAAGTATGTTTACTAACAATTTTGTAATATGGGCTGCATTTGCTGGAGTTATCTTCTTTTTTCTGTGTGGTATTAATTGGGACAGCTCACCTGAGGCTGGAGGACTCACTTCCAAGATAGTATGTTCAGCAAGGTTGGCCAACTGGTACCCAACCTCTCTGCTGAGAAACTGGCTGGAGTTGCAAGCTGGGAACCCGGTTCTCTTCCTTATCTGATCCAGCCTGTGGCTATTTGTGTTGTGAAAATAGTGAGAGGATTTCAGAACTCGGGAGATGGTGAAAAAAAATCAGGGGATGCCATAAAAGTGAATATATCTAACACTACCTAAGTGTTCATTTAACTGGTTAAGACTGTTAACTTTGTGTCCTTTGCCACTATCAAAAAGTAAAAATAAAAACAGCCAGGATGGGGTTGGTGCACGCCTTTAATTTCAGCACTCCGGAAGCAGAGGCAGGCAGTATCTGCTGAGTTCCAGGCCAGCCTGGTTTACAGAGTTCCAGGCTGGCCAAGGTTACATAAAGAAACGCTGTCTCCAAAAAAACAAAAACAAAAACATAAACACCCAAAGAGGAGAGTGGCAGGGAAGTGAGGAAGAATGAGTTGTCAAGGATGAAAAAAGCCAACAAAACTTTGGATCACAATACACACAGACACACAGACATACAGACACACACACACACACACACACACACACACACACACACGTAGATGCAGCATTAATGCAGATCCATAACTCCGAGCGGTGCCAATAGTCCCCAAATAGACCTTTAATGCCTGCAATTCCCAGAGACAAACGTTTAAGACATAATTATGGGTTTGGATTTCTTAAAGCAAGCCTCAAAAGGAAGACTGCCAGCCTAACAGTGATGAGTAATGAAAACTACAGGTGCACACAATATTTCCCTTTCAACCTGGTATGCAGCCTTGCAGGCCCGGCAGAAATATGGCGGAGCAGCCGGGCAGGTGAGAGGCCAAAGGTCTCCTGGTCAATAGCCCAGTTTTTCTGGGATATAAACTCCCTTTGTTGTCTTATAATTCTTAGCATGCCCGGCAACTATCGGCTACCAAGGAGCTCTCACTCTTGAAACTTCGTCGCTGAAATAGTAAATAAGTCATAAAGACCATTTAAAGCCTGGCTGAATATGTAACTCCCATCTTCTCTCCCCCTCCCCCTCCTTCCTCTACAGCCGTGGCGTTTTTATAAATAGTGGAAGTCTGTTTACAGATTTTCCTTGGGTTTTGTTGTTCCTATGTTCCTCGATTTTTCTTCCAAATAAGTACATACCATTCCTTGCCGAAAGGATAGAAAATGAAATCCCTTCCTTCCAGGCGTATTATCTCATCCTTGTACCTTGTGCTGAGACAGTCTGTCCACAGTCTCTGACAGCTTTATTGCCGGCTGTGTCAATACAATGGTGTGATTTTTACCTTTATTCCTTTAAATCTCTTTTTTTCAGTCCCATTGTGGGCAAAAGCTCCATCCAGGCCACACCCTCCAAAAATCAAAAATTAATAATGACTCTGTCTAGTGACCATGCTTACACACCTTTAGGATCTTTTTTTTTTTTTTTTTTTTTGAGACAGGGTTCCCTGCGTAGCCCTGACTGTCCTGTAACTTATACACTGTAGACCAGCAGCCTGGAATTCAGAGATCTGTCTGCCTCTGCCTTCCAAGTGCTGGGATTAAAGGCGAGCACCACCACTGCCCTGTTTATTCATTAAAAATAACTGAGATCTGTTATGTGTTAGGCACTGTCTAAATATACAATAGCCAAAAAACAAAAAACCTAACTCTGCTTTTTCTAAATGGGTTCCGGCTGGAACCATTAAGGTCTAGCTTGCCATTTTTTTTTGGGGGGGGGGCGTGTCTTTGCAGGCTCTAGCAAAACAACGTCTCTCTGTGGAGTGTATTCAGTAATAGGCAAGAATAGCCAAGGAAGGCGAAGGGCTAGGTCTACTGGCCGGTCCAGCCACCCAAGCCCACCCCTCGGCCATTGCTCAGGAAGACATTGCCCCCTCGTGGTTCCTCTTATAACGGAATGAAAAGCAGGCCGTGCAAAGAGCTGCCAATCAACACAAATCAATAGATCAGCACCCAGACAAAGTTTCCGATTAACTGTAGCTTCTGAACTTTCTCTCCCGCTGTTCCAAAGACTCGTGTTTCATTTTCTCCCAGGAGGCACCTTTGTTACTATAGAGGGCCATGACATTACGACAGCAACTTAAAGCATTATTTTCCTTTAGAAAATTTCCCACATCTCCAGAGCCCTTCAAAGAAAAAAAAAAAAAAAACCTCATCTAAAAACCTAAGGATCACTCTGAATTTTCAAGTCACAAACGCCTTTAAAAGCAAAAGAAGAAGGGTGCGTGTATCTTGCTTTTTTATAATTTGAACCAGGATTCAGCGATTATGTTGTCTTGGAGTTGTTTGGGGTATCTTGTCTCCACAACACCACTTTCAATTGCCTGCAGGCAGGGCCCTTATCTCCAACTCCCACCCCACCCCCACCCACCCCCGCCTCCACCCCACCCCCAACAGCACTCAGAGCAGAGAAGGGTCAAGAATGTTGAGTGGGGGAAGAGAAAGAGATAAACAGTTAAACCGAGGCATAAATGAGAAATCGTGATTGGTGCGGCAAGCCGGACAAACTTCCTCGGAGAGACAGGCACGACCCATTGATACGTGAGGGTCTTCAACGTCTGTCCATACTCGTCAAAGTTGACAGGCTCTATTGTTGGAAAAGTTCTGTAGGGCCAGGAAAATGGAAACTTCCTTAATAATAATGCTACCTTCCGCCTATTGTAAACCAGAACCGTACAAGCATGAGTGCTAGGAGGGGAGGATTGCGCCTGCCCCGTCTATAATCTCTAAAACCCTGGGATAAATATATATATTCCCCCATTTCTCTGACGGAGGAAACGGAAGCTGTGCGGTCATCCCGGTGTTGGGAAATTGCTTTGATTCTCTAGAGATAAATGCCCTGCCCTTTAAGGGGCAGGGAGGGACACTCTGCCAACAAATAGACAGCGAGTGCCTACTATGCTCCAGGTAGCCTAGCTGAGGAGTGGCGGGGTGCCACGGATACACAGGGCACGGTCTTGGTGTTCCAGGAAGGGGCTCCCCAAAGAGTGAAGTAAACAAAACGATTCCAGAACAGCCTGGGGCCGGCTGTGCGAGTCTGAACAGGGGCGGCCGGAAGCCTTAGAGAGCGACAGCGGCCGAGGAGGGGGGGAAGGCTGGGGAGGTTTCGCCGGACTCCCGCACCGGCCGTGGGCTTGCCAGCCGCGTCCTGCCAAAGCGGGGCTCGCCGGTGGGCTGTCCCCCGCGTGTCTTGCCACCTAGAACCCAGTCTCGGCGGGTGCCTGCCAAGCAGGGTGGGTTGAGGTGCACATCCGTCGTGAAAAGCAAGCACACCCAAGTAGCACACCCCAGTCTCCGTGTCCCCCCACCCCCACCCCAAACCCCCCCCAGCTGGCTTGCCTCCCCCCCCCCAGGCCCCTCTCCAAGCCCACGCGCACCGGCCTGCACGGACGCCGAGGCCCTGGGGTTGGAGAGGGCGGACCCGACCTTCCTCCCGCCGTCCCCGCGGCCTCGTGACCCCGGTGACATTCCCCCCCCCTACCCCCCACTCTCCACCCCCCCAGCCGAGCCGGGCCCTGGGGTCGACCGCTCCGCCCCGCGCCCCTCCTCCCGCGGGGGGCTTCGCGGTCCCGGGCAGCGTCCCTCCAGGGCTGCGGCCGGCCGCGCACGTCCAGGGAGGGCGGAGGGAGGAGGGGAGGGCAGGGGAGGGGAGGGGAGGAGGGTGGAAGGCGAGAGAAAGCGCGCTGCGTGCGGCCCCGCTGCCCAGAGCCTGCCAGCAGCGCGCCCTCGGCGGCTCCGGTCCCAACCGCGCCCGCCGCCTCGCCTCCTCCGCCTCGGCCGCCTCCCGACTCCGGGGCTCGCCCGGCCTCTCCGAGGTCCCCGCCCGCCCGCCCCGGCTCCTCGCAGCAGCGCCGCCCCGGCTCCAGCCCCGCAGCTCGCCCGCCCGCCCGGCTCGCCCGGGGGAAGGTAGCAAGCGGGCGAGCGCGCCCTCGCCCCAGCCCCGCGCGGCGACCAAGGACCGGGAAGATGAACGGCGGAGGCAAAGCCGAGAAGGAGAACACCCCGAGCGAGGCCAACCTTCAGGAGGAGGAGGTACTGAGGGGGGCCGGCTTGGGGGGTTCGGGGCGCCCAGGGAAGGGAGGGGGGTGCCACGGGACGCGGCGTCCCCGAGGGCGCGGGGCTGTGTCCACGCGCGTCCGCCTGCCTCCCGTTGCATAACTTTTGAGGACTTTCCCGAGACTTTTTGTCAGTAGAATGCTCAGCTTTGTCTGCCCGGGATGTTAAAAGCGGAATCGAGAGCTGACTCCCGGGTGACCTCAGATGATTGGGATCGGGGAGGGTCAATGATTTGGGTTCTGCGTCTGCTGCTGGAAATTGGAGGGAGGCATGGTCGAAGGAAGAAACTCTGGGAAAGTTTTCGTTAAAAGATACTTCCGACCCTAGCTCCCCTCCCTCCCTCCCTCCCTTTCGGTGTTAAAAGTGCTGGGTGAAATATCTTCCTAGCTGAGACATTTTGGATTAATAGATAACTCATCAGCCACATTCTTCTCCGATGAGTCCAAGACCCCCGCCGAACCTGGACGATGTGGAATGGGGGTGGGTGGGTGGGTGGGTAGAATAACAAGGGCTAAAAGCTTTGGGTTCCCCAAAGCAAAGGCGCATGGAGGGTGTTTTCATAGGAAAATCACAACTTTATGTGGCACACTCGAAATGATGATTAAAAACAATTTGCGGCTGTGGTGCGTTTCTTACTGAAAACACTTGAGTAATATGTGTGGATGGGGTGTGCATGGGACTCGGTGAGTTTTGTCGGTTTTGTGGTTGTCCTGCCCTGCCTGACTTCACTCCTGCAGGTGGGTTCTTTGGAGGTCCAAGAAACTGTATTTATCTTAGAATTAAGTGCAGAAGCAGAAAGTGCCCAACCCACTATACCGTAAAAAGCGATCTTACAGGTAAATTACATGCTAATAAGGAGGGTGAACACAACTCAAAACTGGCTGTGACGAGGTTAGGGTAGTGAGAATATTGGGACGGCAGCGTGTGCAAACTAAGATACCGAGACTGAAACCAAACGTTGAGAAAGTTCATCCATCCACCCATCTCTCTGACCTGTGAACTGTCCACTGGTAAAATGGGAACTGTTTAATGGGGAGGACAAAAGAGACCCAGACTTATGCAAAACAATGCAAAGTAGGAGTTTGCTCACAGTTGTCGTGGGGTGGGGTGCAACCCTAAGGGAATTGAAGAAAGCTGAAAATTGCCTCCCCACCTGAAGAAATTACCTATTTTCTCAGCAAGTCTTGCTTTGGAAAGTTTTGTTTATGCTGTTTTATAACAGAGTCAGGGAGCCAGCTGCAAGTTCCGGCTGCTTTTCAGTGTATTTCCTGACAAGCTAAACATTTAAAAAAAAAAAAAAAAAAAAAAAAAAAGATGCCCATTTGCTTTTAAAGAAATTTCTGGGTTTTTGGCATGCTTTAATGAATGCAACAAGGTAATTTCTCATTTCAGCTTAGCAATACCCTTATCTCCGCTAAAGGATGGAGCCTAGGAAACTATCTTTCTTCCTCCATCTGGTTCAGAAAAGTTGCAGCTGGGAAAAAGCACGTAACACCAAAGTTTGGTCCTTTTAAAATGATTTACAAAACCCCAGAGTTGTATTTTGTTTTCTTCAGGTTTTAGTAGATAACAACAGGTTTGTCTCCAAATTCCATACCCACTTGCCTAACAATTACGGCAAGTCAGATTTTTCTCTTGGTCAATCTTAAGCTGCAGATACTAACAGTACTTCTCTTTGGGTGATCACAGCTAGCAGTGGACCATGTTGGTGTGATCATCTATCTGCCCGGTTGCGCTGACTGGGAGTGTTCTTTGTCAGGTAGGGATGGCATATGGTTCTAGGAGGTGTTTATCTTTCTCAGGGGGACATTTGTTATTTAAGAAATAAGAAGGGTAGGAAGACTGCAGAGCTCAGGTTATGCACTAGTGGGAGTGTATAAAACACATACACCATGAAAAATGAGCTTTAGTTATTTGTGGGATTTTGTTGTTGTTATTGTTGTTGTTTTTTCCAGTACTAGGAAATGAACCCAGGACCACAGGCATGCCGGGCAAGCACTCTATTACTAGGTGCTTTATGTGTTTTTATTTAAAAATAGGGTTTCCCAAGTCACACCATCTGGCTTATGATATTTGCCATCACGCCTGGCTAGCATAATAGGGAAAGAAAATTGTTAGTGATCCAGGTAATTTTATCATAATTCTCTGTTCTCCTGTATACTTGGTTTTTGAAAAACTCCTAGGCGCCCCACCCCCACCCCCTCCCTACCCCCCAATCCTGGAAGCCACAAGTCAAATAAGTACAGTATTTTGGTGAGTTCCATGAATGTGCATGTCATTATACAAAAACCACAACACTGGACACATGCCCTGCCCGTCCAGTGGACCAGCACCTGTTCAGATGCATTGAAAAGCCTCGGAGTGGACTCCGATAAACAGAACACACACACACACACACACACACACACACACACACACACACACACACACACACAACCTGTGTACATGTAGGAAGACAAGAGAAATGTGCTTGTTGTCATTTCCCGTGGCTACTGAACTGAGTTGGAAAAGTGAGTCCACCCATCACTAAGAGAAAACTTTCTCTACATTGGAGAGTTTTAGTTCAAGGTTTTCTTCTTCCTGTGTTTGAAACCAGCTCCTCTTATCATCCAGTATGTTTTAACCCTGAGCCCCATGGCTTATTCTGCAGTTATGACACTACTGGTTGAGAAGTTTTTGAGGAGCTGCAGCTTTGTATAGCACTTCAAACCAAGGGGAGAAATTTTAAGATTTTGCAGCTGTGTGAGAGACAATCCATCTGGCCTTCTAGCATGTTGTGTATGCTCTTTGTAAGTTTTCCTGGAAGGACAACCAGTTGTCAATCTCACTGGGACCTGAGAGTTGCCAGGGTTTTGTGTGTATGTGCAGATTGTTGGATTATTTCTTACATCACCTCACTTTAAAGAAAATAATGCTGGAGGAGGGTTGAACGTTCAGAAGCCAGCCTTAGCTACATAGCAAGGCTCTGCTTTGAAACAGAAGTTCTTAGTTGGGCGTGGTGATGATTCCTTCATGTTGTAAGGCAGAGCCAGGTGGATCTCTTTGAGTCTGAGGCCAGGTGGTGATGATTCCTTCATTTTGTAAGGCAGAGCCAGGTGGATCTCTTTGAGTCTGAGGCCAGCGTAGTCTACATAGCGAGATCCAGCCCAGTTAGGGCTGCATAGTGAGACACTGTCTCTAAACGAAAGTTTCAAGAAAGTTCTTAGAATGTGTCTCCAGTTGTATGTATGATCAGGTTTTATTAAGTTAATAAGTATGTAAGTAATAAACTCATAGTTTGTTTCATAATCAACTGTCATTAGTAAGTTTCAATGTGTTCAGACATACCGGGACCCTGTCTTACAGAACCTTATTGGCGAGTGACTTCTTTGTTGGATATGAGATAAACATGCCATTTGGTTATATTTTTAGTGTCATTCATGTCATTGGGTACTTTTTAGGTGGATCACCTTTATGTTGAAGCAGTTTAAAATACAGCTCAGCTCTGGGAAAGCAGTATAGGGGGGCATTAAATCAGAGAAGCAAGAGTCGGCCATGTGGCAGCATTGATTGGGATGTTTGGCAGAAATTGAATCAAGTCAGTTCTGAAGAGGGTCATGCAATTTTTACTTCAGATCTTTTAGAGTGCTTAGTATTTTGCCAAAGCGTTGGGGTGGTAAGTTGTTTGTCTGAAACAGTTGGTATACAGGAAAGGGAATGTCAGTGGTGTGGAAACCCACTTCTCATTCCATATTGAGATTATTTGGATTCTGGAAAGATCGATATAGCTTTGTACAGTTTAACCTATTGTTGCAAACCAAATCTAGCACAGCAAACTTGTTTCAGTCCCGGAGCAGGAGCTGGTGGCGGCGATTTGGATGGAAATGTGACCTCATTGGTAGAATGATGTCGGAAGAGCCGCTGCCGAAAGTAGCATGCATTTTCGACTCCTTGGCCAAAAGTGGTTTTTCAGTTTCTCCGATAAGCTGCTGGTGGTGCCTGGAAGCGTTTGCAAGTGCTCTGACTTGGTCCTTTGGTTGAGGTAGAGGCTTTTATGGAGGCCCGAGTAAGTGTTAGAGTTGGGGCAATAAACAGGGCACATGTCACCGGTAATGAAGTTGGGACTGTGGTTCTGAGGAGTTCTGGCAGGGGCCATCAAAACATGTTCTGGCCCTTTGATTTAGTACCTGTATTGTTAAGAACTTACTCTAAGGAAATTGGGTGGTGATAAACATTTCTTTCTAGGAGTGATTGTTGCATAGTTGTGATGGCGAAAATTCTCAGAGCCTGTTCTACAAACGGGAATTTGCTAAGCCAATCATTATAATTCCGTCGGGAATGCTATACAGCCTTTAGAGGATAAGTTCTTTGAAATGTGTATTTATTACAGATTGTTTCTGTGTATGTAATTTATATAATAACAATAGACGGGTCTGGAAACTAAAAATCTGAAGACAGGGTCCTGGCAGGCCATTGCTTCCTGGAAAATATTAGGGAAGAGTCGGCCTCCAGACATCCTGAGGGGTGTGTTTTGGTTGAGCAAGCAGGAGTTTTCAAGTTTTAATTTTTTTTTTAATTTTTTTGAGATTGTAATGATCTCATTTCCCTTTTCCCTCTACCTCCTCCACACCCTCCCGTGGAACACCCCTACTATGCTTTTCGTTCTTTAAAACAAGGGTGTATGTAAAACCAGATATAAAGAAAGTGAGTGTCATCGATGGATTACACACAGATCATTGTGAATTGCTTTCCTCTGCATTTCCAAAATGATGACGTGAGCCAGTGACGAGATGCCTTCTGGCTTTGCAGATTTTGTTAAATTCTTCTGTGATCCATGTAGGTGGTTGGTTTGGCTTACCAGCCTGACTTGGGCAGGACTCAGGCCTGTTCTGCTCCTCAGGGCCCTTCGTCATGAGATTCTTCCCCATCTTCGTTTATCCTGGATCATGTTCGTGATCTTCAGCTGCGCTCCCAGGTTCTAATAGCCTTCCTCAGTC